ATTGTGTAGTGCACACCTTCCTTCTAGCATTAGGGGATTGCTACCCACAAGAATATCTTAAATTGGCAAGAATCAAACTGCTAATTTTTTCCTAATTTCTTCCTTCCAGCCTCTGTTGTAGATGGACATCCCTGCATGTATACGTGATGTGAGCATTTGCCTGGTGCTGTGGGGGCGTGCGCACATGTATGCTTAGGAAGCAGGCTATCAGGGGCAGGAGAGTCCTGCTGACAAGGGTGCCTTTCCCCGGGCCTACTCAGGCCTCTGTACTACAAGTTCAGGTACAAACCACCAGGCACTGTTTTTCTTATTCTTACCTAATGTCTGGTTCACTTTAGGGCCCTTTTAAGTTTTCAGAAGAGCTTAAGATACCCCGGAAGCACAGGTTTCCAACAATCAGCAGTATTAGTCTCTTTGTATAGCCTGGTGAACTAGCTCTGGGCTAGTTCATTTCTGAGATCATTTCTCTGTCAGCTCTGCTTGCCACCAGTCTTGACTGCTTCCTTGGTGGTTTATTAGACTCCTGGGAGACATGGGACAGGGTGAATGTTTAAAATGCGTGCTTGAACCAGAAAGCATTCAGGAGTCTGTTTTACAGTATAAATGTAGTATGTTATACATGTAATCTGTTCTTCAGGAAAAGGTCTTTGGGAAATTATGGGTACCCATTTGAGTCTCTGAATTAAAGTGGCATAATAGTGAGACAAAGTCCTAAATTTTATGTGATTATTTATTTCTGATGATGGAAATGCAGAGGAGGGGTTCTGTTTAACCATAAAGTAACTTTTCTGGGGCTAGGGTTAAGCTGCCACCTTGAGTGCCAGTCATGTCCTGACTGTTCTGCTTTGAGTCCTGGTTGTTCTACTTTTGATCCAGCTCCCTGCTAATGCACCTGGGAAGGTCATACATACTTGGCCATTGCACCCACGTGGGATACCCAGAAGCTGCTCCTGGCTCCTGGTTTCGGCCTGACCCATTGCAGGAACCAGCATATGGAAGTCTCTTTCTGTCTCTTCACTCTCTAACTCTACCTTTCAAATAAATAAAAAAAATAGATCTTTTAAAAAATAAAACACTTTTATAGAGGAAGAATATACAGTGGCTGCAATCTAGAATCTCAATTATTCGTATAAAGTTTTATTTATTTTTTTTTTAATTTAATTTTTTTTTTTTTACTGGAAACTCGGATATACAGAGAGGAGGAGAGACCTAGAGGAACATCTTCCATCTGATGGTTGACTCTGCAATTGAGCGCAACGGCTGGAGCTGAGCCAATCTGAAGCCAGGAGCCTGGAGCCTCTTCTAAGTCTCCCACGCGGGTGCAGGGTCCCAAAGCTTTGGGCCATCCTCGACTGCTTTCCCAGGCCACAAGCAGAGGGCTGGATGGGAAGCAGGGCTACCGGGATTAGAACTGGTGCCCATATGGGATCCTAATGTGTTCAAGGCAAGGACTTTAACCCCTGCGCTATCGCACTGGGCCCTGAAATTTTATTTCTAAAAGTAAAGTGGCCTGCATTATTATAATTCCCCTGAACCTGGAGCTGTTGCTTGTTTGCATTGGGCAGGCCAGACCCTACTGAGTCAGGCTTACGGAGGGTAACATAGCCTGATTTGCTCAGGAATATTCAAAATTATTGACTGGAAGAAAGGTTTCTTTATCATGCATTGGTTTGTCTAGGAAAACTCCTTTTAAATTGAAGAAGTTTTATTTCCTTCTCTTTTCATTTTTGTATTTTTCTCCCTCCCCTGCAAGGGATAAACATCATAGGCTACAAATAAGTGACAGTTGCTTGGCTCGGGCTGTGGCAGATTGAGGCAGATGGGGAGGAGTTGTAACAAGGGGAAAAATAAGTGAGTCAAACCGCTTCCTGATGCCTCCTGAGTTGGATTTACCTGTGTGACTGCATATCTAGATCATTTTGTTTTCTCCCTAGCAAGTAAGCCCACAGCTTAGCTGTAGTACACATGTTAAAACCAACTCTGCAGGCAAAAATTGACCTAGGCACTGTGACATATGTATGACCCTAATTGCTGCCACTGGGTGCGAGTCCACAGGCCTACTGCTCTCTTTGGGAAAACTGGTTCACACTCATTTTAATAACCATAGAATATTTAGAATAGTGTGCTTAGTTCTGCTGTTGATTGTAGCAGGATATTATTTATATGCTGTTGACTTCAGTAACGTCTGTGTTGTAACACAGAAAAATAATTTATTTATGCTCAGTTAACAAACAATTTCAAAACTTCAACACTAGCCTGTGTACCTTCCATGAAACATTAAAATTTGACATGATTGGAAGCTTGAAATTGTTGGTTTTAAAAGAGAAACACTAGGTTTTCTTTCTAGATACTTATCTGGTTATTGAAATGTTATAGTACAGATTGTAAATTCACTTCTTAAAGGAGAATACACTGTTCAATTACTTATTATATTATTCTAGACCATGTAATTTATATTAACATTCATTTATATCTATTTATATTCATCTGGCCCTTCTACTGATGCCAGAATAGATCTTTTAATGGGTGGTGGTCGTTGTGGTGTAGCAAGTAGGTAAAACTGCTACCTTTGATGCCATCATTCTATACAGGTACTGGCTCATCTCTCAGCTGCTCTGCTTCTGATCCAGCTACCTACTGATGTGCTTGTGAAAGCTGCTGAAAATGACCCAAGTTCCTAGGCCTCTGCACTCACATGTGGGACCCAGACAAGCTCCTGGTTTTGGTGTGGTCCAGACCTAGCCATTTTAGCTGTTAGGGAAGTGAACCAGCAGAAAGAATATTGTCTCTCTCTCTTTTTTTTTTTAAAGATTTATTTTTATTATTTTTTTATTGGAAAGGTGGATATACACAGAGGAGAGACAGAGAGGAAGATCTTCTGTCCAATGATTCACTCCCCAAGTGAGCACAACGGGCCGATACTATGACGATCCGAAGCCAGGAGCCTCTTCGGGGTCTCCCACGCGGGTGCAGGGTCCCAAGGCCCTGGGCCATCCTCGACTGCCCTCCCGGGCCACAGGCAGGGAGCTGGAAGGGAAGCGGGGCTGCCGGGATTAGAACCGGCACCCATATGGGATCCCGGGCGTGCAAGGCGAGGACTTAACCACTTGCGCCACCGTGCCGGGCCCACCCTCTCTAATCTTATCTGTTGTTAGGTGGGAGGGTAATTATTACTCATTTTTTAAAATATTGATTTGAAAGATTAAGATAGAGAGATCTGTCCTTTAGCCCACTCCCCAAACAGACAAAACAGACAGGGCTGGGCCAGGCTAAAGCCAGGAGACTGGATCTCCAAATAGTGTGTCTCATATGAGTGACGGGTCCCTGGTATCTGGATCATTCTCTACTATTTTCTAGGCACAGAGCAGGGAGCTGGCCTGGAAGTCAAGCAACTGGACTCAAACTGGCGCTCAGATGTGAGCTATGGGCATCCCAGGCAGTGTCATACCGTACTGAACCACATCAACCCCTGCCATTCCTTTGTAGTAGATGCAGAGGCTGCCCTTTTCTTCAGTATTGATTATAAAAATATTATTACAATAGATTTAATCTTCAATCTGTGATGATGGAAAGATGAAGATTATTCTTTATAGTACATAGAACAAAGTTCTCAAGTAAAAAATATTTTTCACCTAAAATCATTCTAAATTGAAAAGTTGAAATATCAAAGACAGGCAGATTGTTGCTTTGGTTGTTGGTGTCCAGCAGTGTAGTTCCTGGGTACATACCAGGACTCCACTTCCAATTCAGTCTCTTACTAACGTCCACTGTGGAGACAGAAGGTTCAAGTACTTGTGCACTTCCACCCAATAGTTCATTTCTTAAATGGCTGAAAAAGCCAGAAGATCCCTCCCTGCCTCTCCTGTAACTGCCTGAATTCCAAACATGGACCATCTTCTGCTGTACTTGGAGGCACATTAGCTGCAAGTTGGATTGGAAACAAGAACAGCTGGGACTTACACCTGTATTCTGATATGTGATGTTGATATCAGCTTTGGCATCACAAGTTGTGACTTAACCTAACCCTGCTGCACAATTCTGGCCCTAGGAGATGATTTGTCTTTCAGCCTTGGAATGGTTAACTGTTTATTTGCCTGCCTATCACTTTGATGATGGCAATTGCAGGTTGTTTAGACCTCTAGGACCTTCTGTTAAGGCCCAATTGAAACACTATAGCCTGATGCAAATTTTTAACAGAAAATACACACCAATGTATTTAATGATCTGCTTCATGTTCTGCCTCCTTGATGTTGGTGCATTGCAACTGTCCTTGCCAAAAAAATGACACGAACTAACCTTTCTTCCCGTGCTTTCTGTAGTTGCCTCCTGGGCATGAGCTTCATTCCCTGCCTTCCTGAGACACAAACACAACCTGTCCTGCTAGTTCCTGCCATCACTGCCCCACACATGACAAGCTGCTTTCTTCTGCATTTTTAAATAATGCTGCTGATTTGCCATAAGGTTGATACCATTAAATTCCAGTTACAATAAAGACTACATTAACTAAGTTTTGTTTATTACATGAATTCTGTGCTATTTCTAAGAAAAGGTGCAGAGCAGAAGTTGTGTAGTTTTTATATAGTTTTGAGGGAGAACACAAGGGCTCCTCTGCACTGGTTCACTTCCAAATGCCTGTGACTCCCAAGGGACGAAAGCCAGGAGCTAGGAATTGCATCCAAGTTGCCCACATGGGTGGCAGGAAGTTAAATGAGCCATCACTGCTACCTCTGACGTTAGCAGGAAGATATCATCAGGAACCAGAGACAAATCAAACCCAGGCAGTGCAACATGGGATGTGGGCATCCTAACCAGTGGCTTAGCTGCTAAGCCTAACTCCTCAAGCCCCCTGAAGTTAGGATGTTTCAACCAAGGTTTTAAGATCTGTTTTTTGTGTAAGGTGTGTTTGTTTGGCACTTAAGCAGTAGAGACCTTGCAATCTCAGCCTTTTCCAATGAGGTCCCTATTCCTACTTCAGTTTTCCTCTTTCTTCTTTCCTGTAGTGGACATTTGGGAACAACAAAAACAAGAAGAAAGGAAAAACCAGAAAAACAGAGAAGAAAGGAACCATGAAGAAACAAGCCAACAAAACTGCCTCCTCAGGCAGTTCAGACAAAGACAGTTCAGCCGAGAGCTCGGCCCCAGAGGAAGGTGAGCAGAGCAGCACCCCTTCCCGCCATGGCCATGCTGCCTCTGTCCTGAGTCCGTGCCTGTCTGCTTCTCCCGGGCGAGAGCCCTCCGAGCATCCTCATGAGGCGAGGACAGTACTTGCAGTCTGGGTGGTTGGTAGCATGGGTCCGTGACAAGTCCCTGCGTTTGCTTTAATTCACTTTACTCTAAACACCTACTCTTCCTTTTTCCTGTGGCCATACAAGGTCTGATTGAGGATGGAAATCCTAGAGTCAGTACAAAATGCTCACTTTTTTTAAAAGCAATTCCAGAATTTCTTAGTAACACAGGATTGACAAGTGAACTTGTCAAATGAATAGTACTTACACACAAAATGGCCTGTGTGGAATTGGCCTAGGCTGGTTTTAGCACTTGCTTGTAGATGCTAACTCAGTCCTTATTCAAAGGCTGAGTTAACCTAACACTCCTGCGTATACTCTTCCATACCACCGTTTGTTCTTTTATGATCCTGTGTAATTGGGAGTTCACTAATTAGTTTAATGACTCATGAAAACATTGGTTTTTAAAGTGCCAACTAATAATGTATAAGAAATTATAGTATTAGAAAAAAATTACCATTTTTAACTGTTATTGTAATAACTGATTTACTAAGAAGTATTGGTGATTTTTAAAACTTTTTGGGAAACAAGAGATTTATAAAATCTCAAAACATCTCCCTAAGTGTACTAAACTATAAAGACAAAAAGGCCTTTACAAAGGAGAAAGCTGAGAGTGTCACCTTAACCATGTGGTCCCAGTAACACCCACTCACAATGGGACATGTACTGCTGATGTGATCTATTGAAAAGGACACAATCACTTAAGGAAGATTCTTGCCAAGAACTCATACGTTGAATCATTTCTTACAAAACAAACCAAAGAAAATTGGAGAACATTTGATAACTGTTTCTACTTAAAATAGCTAAAAATAAACGATTAAAGTACAGTTTCTCTATTGCACCAGCTGTATTTCCGTGTCTCAGTAGCCAAGTGCGGTAGCTGCCATCCAGTAGAGAGCATCTTGATTATCACATCACAGAACTCTTTAAGACAGTTTTGTGGGCTTCTACATACTCTTTCACAAGGCCAGAGGCAGGAGAGACAAGGCTGACTCAGATGAAGGCTTCTAGTGGGACATGATGGCCAAATGCTATGTGTGATCCTCAGTTGGTTCCAGCTTTGACTAGAAAGGATAGTGTTGGGACAGCTGGTGAAATATGAATATGGACTGCATATTAGATAACAGAATTACATCAGTGTTTAATTTTTAAATTTGGCAATTGTATAATTGGTTATGTGAGAGAATGTTCTCCTTAGGAGAAATATTTATTGGGGAAAGCTTCGGATCACTGCAAGTTTCAGTTGGGTAGCATCCATAATAAAAATGTATACCCTATTTTATAACTGTAGACAGAAAGAAAAGATAAATTGACCCTGTTAACCATAGGTGAATATAAAAGTCAAATTATTCCTCCAGTTTTTTTTTTGTTTTTTTTTTTTTTCTGTAGGTCAAAGTAAAATAGGTGAATTAAAAAGTGCAAGTGAGGTGTGGTTTTTAGGCTACTGTCATCAGTTACGACCAGGGCAACCCATTACAGGGTGCCTGAGTTCAAGTCCCGGCTCCAACTTCGGATTCCAGCTTCCTGCTAGTGCCAGTCCTGTTGCTACTGCAGGGGAAGCCTTCGGCAGTGCCAGCTCCTAGCTTCAGCCCCAGCTGCTGCTAGCATTCAAGGAGTGAACCAGTGGCCAATGGACGGGGAGCTCTTTCTCTCTTTTTTATTTCTCAAAAAGAACAAGCTCATTTCTATTCCTGCTTAAAGTTCTTTAGGCCTTGTTAAGGTTACCAAAGACAGTGCAGGGCTGGGCCCCAGGGCACAGGCCAGGTGCTGATGACTGTCAATGTTTGGGGCGCCTTGGCTGCTGTGTAATCTAGAGTTTGGGCCTTTGTTGCAGGTGAGGTGTCAGATTCTGACACCAACAGCTCCTCTTCTAGTTCAGATTCAGACTCTTCCTCAGAAGATGAAGAGTTCCATGACGGCTATGGAGAGGACCTCATGGGAGATGAGGAAGACAGGGCCCGTCTGGAGCAGATGACAGAGAAAGAGAGAGAGCAAGAGCTGTTCAACCGCATAGAGAAGAGGGAGGTGTTGAAAAGAAGGTAAGGTTGCAGCTGCCCTGCCTTTTCTGTGTATTTCTTGTCTCTCATCATGTCCTCTCCCGCGTACTCCTGTCTTGTGCAGATAGTGTCCGACCTTTGGCTGTTGGACTTCCAGAATTTCTACTGTCCACCTGTACAAAAGCCTCCCATATGGCCATTGTTTTTTTAGTATAGTGTTTAAGAAATTACATCCAACATTATTATAAATTAGATTCATATTAGGTTTTGTTCACTTATAGGCAAATCTACATGTTCTGATCATGTTTTTGGTAACTAGCACAAGCCGTATTTGGGATATGATACATTTTTGAAAGGTAGAGAGATAGAATTCCTGTCATCTGGTTCACTCCCCAAATGCCCACAATGACCAGAGCTGGGCTGGGCTGAAGCCAAGAGCCTGGAACTCAAGTCAGGAGTGGCAGGGTCCAAGCACTTAACCCATCACTGCTGCCTTCCAGGGTGTGCATTGCAGGAAGCTGGATTCTTTTGTGAAGGTGGGACTTGAACCCAGGCACTCCAGTATGGATGTGAGCACTCAGTAAAACTGCAACATTGAACATGTTATTGCTGATGATGAAAAACAAACCACATGCTTACATTTAAGATATTTGTTGTTTACTCAGTACTATTTAGATTTGTTAGAACACTTTTTTTAAGTTTTCATTCATCTGCTTTATCAAACCAACACAATGTTTAATTAATTTATTTATTTATTATTACTTTTAAAGATTTATTTTCATTAGAAAGTCAGATATATATAGAGGAGGAGAGACAGAAAGGAAGATCCTTGACCCACTGATTCACTCCCCAAGCAACCTCAGGGACAAGTGTGGCTGCCAGGACATGAGCCAGAGCCCATATGGGATCCTGGTGAGTGCAAGGCAAGGGCTTTAGCCACTAGCCTACTATGCTGAGCCCAGAACACTATTTATTTATTTATTTATTTATTTTAAAGATGTATTTATTTTTATTGGAAAGGCGGATATACAGAGAGGAAGAGAGACAGAGAGGAAGATCTTCCGTACAATGGTTGATTCCCCAAGCAGCTGCAACAGCTGAAGCTGAGCCAATCCAAAGCTAGGAGCCTCCTTCAGGTCTTCCAAGTGGGTGCAGGGTCCCAAAGCCTTGGGCCGCCCTCAACTGCTTTCGCAGGCCACAGGCAGGGAGCTGTATGGGAAGCAGGGCTACCGGGAGTAGAACTGGTGCCCATATGGGATCCCCGCACATGCAAGGCAAGGACCTTAATCACTACGCTATCACACCGGGCCCTTAAATTTATTTCTAAAGATTTAGAGACAGGCAGAAAGGGCATGGAGATCTTCCATCTGCTTATTTGTTCCCCATATTGTCACAGTGGCTGGGTCTAGGGCAGACTGGAGGCAGGAATCAGGAGCTTCTTCCAGTTTTCCCATTTGGGTAACAGGAGCCCAAGCACTTGGGTCAACCTACAGAAAGTGGGTCAGAAATGGAAAAGCAAAGAGGCTCAAACTGGCATTCATATGGATGCCAGCATTAAATGTAGCAGCTTTACCCACTGTAAACTGTAAAACACATTGTTCATTAAGGTTTTTTGTTTGTTTTTATTGGAATGACAGATTTACAGGGAGTAGGAGAAAGAAACATCTTCCTTCCACTGTTTCATTCCCCAAGCGGCCACAATGGCCGGAGCTGAGCCATTCTGCAGCCAGGAGCTTCTTCCGGGTCTCCCACATGGGGGCAGGGTCCCAAGACTTTGAGCCATCTTCTACCAGTTTCCCAGGCCACAAGCAGGAAGCTGGATGGGAAGTGGAGCATTCAGGACAGGAACCAGTTCCCATATGAGATGCAAGCACTTACAGGTAAAGGATTAGCCAATTGAGCCATTGTGCTGGCCCCCTTAGAGTCTTTGTCATAAAGCCTACCCATATGGCCATTATGTTTTTAATGAATGCACGTGTGATTATCCCAACAGTCCTGTGAGATTAGTTATCTCTTAAGGCCAGAGATAGTAGCTAACTCTCAGTACAGGCAGAAACTTTACTGCTCTGTTTCTAGCTCCAGGAAGAGTAGCTGACACATGGAGTGCACTAAATATTTGTGGAGTAAGTGAAAGAAGGAACTTGCCCAAGGTCATTTGACTGGTAGGTGGCAGAATTGGATTTCAAACAAAGGACCATCTGACCCCCACAAAAACAAAACCAAAAAAAATTACTTTTTGGCAATATCCCCTCAGGCCTCAAGAGTCCTGTGATTTTTGCTTATTCTGTACCACAGGCACTAAGGGAATTACTTGATAGAAAGCAATACATGATTGGATTCCTGTTAAGCAAAAGTAGTAAGGCAGCCATGAGATGGCTGCCATCATTACTGAAAGTAATGTGGAACACATAAAATGCTGTGTGGAAAGTAAATGGTAAAAACGATATTTTGCAGCTCTAAAGTTGCCCAAACACCTAAGTGGAAGCAGTTGTCCAAATTTGCCCTGGGCAGCTCTCTCTTCATCAGATTGGAGACTGTGATTTGCCCTCTGTACTTGCAGGTTAACCCTGTTTCACAGTCCTGCTGGCTTTCATTGATTGACTGGTTTAGATGTATTTTATGAAAGGCAAAGAAACCGAGAGATCTTTCATTTGTTTATTCACTCCCCAAATGACTGTGACAGCCAGGTCTGACAAGGCTGAAGTCAGGAACCAGGACCTTGATCCAAGTCTCCTGCATTGATGGCAGAGGCGCAGGTACTTGAGCCATCATCCGCTGCCTTGCCAGTTGCATTAGTGCCAGCTAGATCAGAAGTGGAACAGCCAGGACTCAAACAACACTGTAATATGTGATGCTGGTGTCCCAGACAGTAACTTAACCACTGGCCACAACACTGGCTCCAGGTTTTGTGTTTTCTGAAACTCAGCTTTAAGTTGCCTTTTCATTTAACATGCTTGAAAAGCAGAATTACAAGAAGATCTTCCATTTACTGGCTCACACCCCAAATACCCACAACAGCTGAGAATAGGCAAGGACAACCCCGAGAACTGGAATTCCATCCAGGTCTCTCTTGTGGGTTGCAGGGACCCAAGTACTTGGACCATTGTCTCCTGTCTTCCAAGACACATCAAAAGTTGGCACTCCAATTTGAGGTGTGGGCATCAAAAGCAGCAGGTTACTTCCTGTGCCACAAAGCCTGCCCCTTAAATTGTTTTTTTTAAAATAGTTATTTTATTAGAGAGGTAAAGAGACAGAGGTCTCATTGCTGGTTCACTATAATCTTCCCATAATGTTGGAACTGAGCATGCCAAAACCAAGAAGCTGGGCCTCCTGCCAGCTCTTGCATGTTCCCCTTCCAAGCATTAGCAGGAATGTGGGACTGGGAGTGCAACTGGGACTTAAACCCAGGCACTCAGGCAGGGGAGGCCAGTGACCATGCCAAACACCCGCCCCCACTGCTTTGTGATATTCAGAAGCTGTTTCATTTTTCTGGACTTAAGCCATGTTTTAAATGGCAAAGGTTCTTCCTTCTAACAATTTGAAGGTGAAACTGTCTTCAGAAATAAAATACAGTCTCAGATCTACCATAAGAAAGAAAACTAAATGCAGCTTCTCTGGCAGCAATTTATTCTGGTTCCTCCAAGAGCCTGTTTGTCCTTTGTGGAGACCATATTAAGTGTGCTGAGTTATTCTCAAAAAGAATTTTTGGCTTTCAGTCAGCAGCCAGCAGTAGACATTTGTTTGGCGTCCAAATGCTTCCAAGGTTACCTGTGTTGGAACAAACATAATGTCAGAGGTTGCCACTGGCACTGCAGGTACAGGGGACCAGTGTGCTGCGGATTTCTTACCTGTGGAGAGCGTGCAAGAGAACGATTGTCTTTCAAGACCACTAGTACCTAAAGAAGCATGGGGACCTGTTTTCAACCTTGGTTGCTTTTACATTTTTCATCATTTGTGAGTGAAACAGCTGATTCTGTGGTTTATGGTGGTTAAGAAGTTTTTAGAATGACACTTGTTAAGGTAGAAGTTTCGGGGTTGGCACAGTGGCTCAATTGGCTAATCCTCTACCTAACTGTGCCAGCATTTCATCTGGGCATCGGTTTGTATCCTGCTCTCCGTTCCCATACAGCTCCCTGCTTGTGGCCTGGGAAAGCAACAAGGATGGCCCAAAGCCTTGGGACCCTACACCCACATGTGAGACCCAGAAAAAGCTCCTGCTGACTCCTGGTTCTTGGCTTTAGATCAGTTCAGCTCCAGCCATTATGGCCATTTAGGGAGTGGACCAGTGGATGGAAGATTTTTCTCTCTGTCTCTCCTTCTCTTTGGAGTAAAAATGAATAAATCTTGAACAGATTTAGATACAGAAACAGAAAATTGGGTTTTTAGGGCTCCTTTTTCTAGCTTTAGGGCAATTGCAATAGAGCAATGCAAAATGTTCCTTCATCTTGTGCATCTATTCTAGGCCTTCCTATGGGTTTCCCTAACCTTTATGTGTGAGCCCATTATCATCCCTGTCCATTCTGTGGCATAGCACCAGGTGGGATGTGTCATTCTCAGTGGGGCAGGAATGTTGCAGGGGCCTGGTGGGGGGAAATACTGGCATTTTCAGAGAGTCTCTGATGAAGTCACACTCACTGGCCAAGTGATGCCTTTTTTTTTTTTTAAGATTTATTTGTTTTTATTGGAAAGTCCGATTTACAAAGAGGAGGAGAGACAGAAAGATCTTCATCTACCAGTTCACTCCCCAAGTGGTCGCAACAGCCAGAGCTGAGCCAATCTGAAGCCAGGAGTCAGGAGCTTCTTCTGGGTCTCCCACACAGGTGCAGAATCCCAGGGCTTTGGGCTGTCCTCTACTGCTTTCTCAGGCCACAATTAGGGAGCTGGATGGGAAGTGGAGCAGCCGAGATACGAAGCAGTGCCCATTTCTGATCCCAGTGCCTGCAAGGCAATGACTTAAGCCACTAGGCTATTATGCTGGGCCCTGGCCAGGTGATCTTAAGTAAATCACATTACCGTTGGGGTCAGCACCATGGTGTAGTAGCCTAAGCCTCTGCCTGTAGTACCCACATCCCATTTTGGCTTCAATTCTAATCCAGTGCCCTGCTTATCTTGCCTTGAAAAGCAGCATAGGATGGCCTGAATGTTTGGGCCCCAGCACCCACATGGGAGACTGGAAAGAAGCTCCTGGGTTCAAACTAAACCAATTGCAACCATTGTGGCCATTTGTGGAGTGAACCAGTGGATAGAAGATGGATCTCTCCCTCTCTCTCTCTCTGTAAATTTGCCCTTCAGATAAAAATAAATAAATCTTTTTTTAAAAAAAATCACTTTACCTTCTTCCTGCTTCAACTTCCTCTTTCTAGATTGTTGTGCATAAGCCTCTAGAGTGGTAGTACATATGAGAACAGAAGCTTATGGAAATAGAAGCTACAGGACCAGCACGTTGTGACACCATAGATCAAGCTGTCACTTACTGGGATCAAATGGGAACACTAGTTTATGTATGGGCTGCTCCATTTTGGATCCATCTTTTTGCTAATGTGCCTGGGAGGTGGCAGAAGAAGGCTCATGTGCTTGGGCCCCTGCTATCCTTGCGAGAGACCCTGTTAGAATTCTGGGCTTCTGGCTTCAGCCTGGCCCAGTACAGCTGTTGCAGCCATTTGGAGAGTGAACCAGCGACTGGAAGATCTCCCTCTGTCACTTTACCTTTCACATAAATCTTTAAAAAGGAGGTGGGGGTAGGAGGAAGGAGGCTGACATTGTAGCAAAGCAGGTAAAGCCATTGCCCTGTGATGCTGTCCTGACTGCTTCACTTCCACTAACTCCCTGACAATATGCTGTGGAAAGCAGTGGAAAATGGCCCAAATGATTGAACCCTGCACCCATGTGAGAGACTAGGATGGGGCTCCCAGTTTCACCCCATCCAGGGCATGGCTATCTGGGGAGAAGTCGCTGAAATAATCTGCTTAAAATGAACACTTCAGTGGTTTTTACTCTTAGAGCTTTGTAACCATCACCACGATTACTTTCAGGATATGTTAATCATCGTCAGAGAAAGTCTGTGCTCACTGACAGTCGCTATTTGTCCACTTACTGTAGCTGTAGATCAGTCTGTGCAGGATGTTTTGTATGTGTGGATTCTGGGTCATTTTTTATGACTGGCTTCTTGCACTTAGAATGTTTGAAGTGTAACCATGAGGTGTGTTAGTACTTGACTCTTTTTGTAGATGAGTAATAATATTCATTGTTGCTGTACACCCCGTTGTATTTACCCATTCATCTGTTGATTGATGTTGGTTGTTTTCATGTTTTTTGCTGTTGTGAAAGTGATCCTAAGAACATTTCCGTACAAGCATTTTGCAGCTTTTTTTCCGTTCTGTGTGGGTGGATAAGATGCCATCAAGCTGTGTCACACTGGTGTGAATCTGTGTCCACTTTGACCTGTCCTCACTGACATTGTCATTTCCTCATTCTTTAATAATAACTCTCTTAGTAGATGTGACGTGATGTCATGCTACCATTTCGATTTGCTCTTGGCATGTTATGTTGAAGATCTTTTTATGTGCTTGCTAGCTGTTTATACATCTTTGAGGAAATATCAATTTAAATCCTTGCAGCTATTGCTTTTTAATATTTATTTTTTAATTCATTTATTCATTCATTCAGAAGATAGAGTTACAGAGAAAGGGTAAGAGAAAGGAAGATCCTCATATCACAGGTTTGCTCCTCAAATACCTGCAGCAGCCAGGAGTGGGCCAGGCTCACTGTGCTACAGCAGACTAATCTTCCACCCTAAGGTGCTGGCATCTCATATGGGTGCTGGTTCATGTCTACCTGCTGCACTTGGGATCCACCTCCCTGCTTATCGCCTGAGAAAGCAGCAGAGGATGACCCAAATCCTTGGGGTCCCTGCACCCACATAGAAGACCGGAAGAAGCTCGTGCCTCCTGGTTTCAGATCAGCTCAACTGTGGCCTTTGTAGTCATTTGGGGAGTGAACCAATGGATGGGGACTTTATTTCTCTAAAGTCTTCCTTTCAAATAAAGCTAAATAAATATTTTAAAAAGAAAAAAAAATTTAATATACTTAAAGGATACAGTGGTGTTTCTTCCAGAAAGCTGAATGTTTATTAACTCATTTCGCCTGCTAGTTTCCTTTTTCTGATTGAAACTATTCTTTCCCTATATTTTTCATTGTTAACTTAAAAATCAAATAAATTTCTTTAAACCAGATTTGAAATCAAGAAGAAGCTGAAAACGGCCAAAAAGAAAGAGAAAAAAGAAAAAAAGAAAAAGCAAGAAGAGGAACAGGAAAAGAAAAAGCTGACACAGATTCAAGAATCTCAGGTAAGGGAGCATGGTTCTTACTGTCCTCAGATGGAGCCTGTTTTCTTAAAAAGTAGAAGAGAACGTGTGTGTAAGGTGTGTGTAATGTGAGCTTACATTGGGGTGCTTCAAAAGTTCATGGAAAAATAGAATTAAAGAACATGTTTATTTGGGTGGGAAAAAAATTGAGATCCCTGCCTATTTCATAATGGCAGTTCCATGGACTTTTTGAAGCTCCCATATACACATGAATTTTAAGATCTTTGTCGTTGCTCCTAAATAGACTTCCCTTTCAGTTCCTGCTAGGTTGCCCACACTGTTTTGTTAACTGCTGAGGTCAGCTTCCCTGGGGTCTAGGTTCATAGAGCCACCCTCTGGGGACAGTTGGTTAACACCTGGCTGGGACATTGGTTGGCATGTTTTCAGGTGGATGTTTTCCTAGATTTCCTGAATGTGTATCTTTGGGAACTTTTCATCTATGCGTTAATTATAAAGTGGTTTGTTGACAATAGTAACAAATATTAGCTATCATCTAGTGTAATCCAAAAAAGTTTTTCCACTTTAAAAAGTTTTTTAATTTTGCTATGCATTCTTGAGTAAGGCTGGGGCTGATTGTTTCCTCTGTCTGTGACCACAAGAGGGTGCTCTCTCCTTCACACAAGCTGGCAGGATACAGCCAGAGTAGATTCTTGCTGGAGAAAGGAATGCATTAACCTTTTGTAGGAGGAGAAGAAGCGAATCATCAGCTGTTGGTAAAAAGTCCTTTATTCTCTTCCCTTGCCAGGTAACATCCCACAACAAGGAACGACGTTCCAAACGGGATGAGAAACTAGACAAGAAATCCCAAGCCATGGAGGAGCTGAAAGCCGAACGAGAAAAACGGAAGAACAGGACAGGTAGGTGGGCAGATGCCATGGCTGCCTTGTGTCTGATCCTGTGAGTTGGCTTCCTCTGGCCCTTCTCATTTTGTAGGCCTTTATTATCAACCATTCCAGGTATACACTGACACACTCTGTAACCCTACATGAGTCCCCCATCCGTCTCAACAAGCAGCTCCAGGCCACTTTTATTACATCTGTGTCCTTTCTAGCATCAGAATTTTTAAAAGATTTGTTTCTTTAATTGAAAGGCATTGCTACACAAAGAGAGCTCCAGCGAGAAAGGCTTCCATCTACTGACTCATTCCCTGAATGGTCACAATGGCTACAGTTGGGACAGTTCAACGCCAGGGCATGTCTCTGTAGAGACAATACAGGGGTAGGGATTTGCACAGTTTTTAAGATGTAGCTTGAGTTGCCCGCGTCTGGTATCAGAGACCCTGGGTCAGACTCTGGTTTGGTATCTAGATTCAAAGTCTTGCTAATGTGAAACCTGAGAGGTGGCAGGTAATAGCTCAAGGACTTGAGCCCCTGGGACCCATGTGGGAGACTCAGGTGGAGTTCCTGGCTCCTGGCTTCTGCTTCACCCAGCCTTGTCTGATGTGGGCTTTTAGGGAATGAACCAGTAGATGGAAGTTCTCTCTTTCCACCTCTTTCAAGTACATTTTTTAAAAAAAAGCAAATGCTTTCTTAATCATCTGGGTTTGCTGTAAGGGTGGCAGGGACCAAGGTACTTGCACCATCACCTTCCCAGGCATGCTTATAGGAACCTGAATTAGAAATGAAGTCCTCCCGGGCCCGGCACGGTGGCGCAGTGGTTAAGGTCCTCGCCTCGCACGCCCGGGATCCCATATGGGCGCCGGTTCTAATCCCGGCAGCCCCGCTTCCCTTCCAGCTCCCTGCCTGTGGCCTGGGAAAGCAGTCGAGGATGGCCCAAAGCTTTGGGACCCTGCACCCGCGTGGGAGACCCGCAAGAGGCTCCTGGCTTCGGATCGGCATAGTATCGGCCCGTTGTGCTCACTTGGGGAGTGAATCATGGGACGGAAGATCTTCCTCTCTGTCTCTCCTCTCTGTATATCTGCCTTTCCAATAAAAAAATAATAAAAATAAATCTTTAAAAAAAAAAAAAAGAAAGAAAGAAATGAAGTCCTCCCAAGCAGCACCTTAGCCTGTTGCACTATCATGTCTGCCCAATTAATAAAGCTTTTTATAAACCAAGTAAAAATGAAGAGATAGGGGCTCTTGTATTAAACTGAAGTAATAGTTGTATGTATGTAATATAATATTCAGTATTCCAGTGTCTCTATGTGTTTTTACGATTGTTGAGACCAAGATCTTCATTTGTGTATTATCTGCTTGCTAGCCAGGACAACCACACTGAGTAGTTGAGATGGTGACCTCAAACTTCAGCACACATTTTTTGACTCAGGAGGCAGTGGCTCACCTTTTTTATTTGTTACGTAGTAGTGTATAGGGTAGATCTATCATGAGTGACTCAGCTCCTTTCATCTCTGGGTTAATTCCCCTTTGAATACAGCTCAGGTGGTCATAGTAGAGTCCAGAGGAGACAGACCTGCTTGCTTGAGTCCTCTGCCATGTTTCAGGTCTTTTTCAAGGGTGAAAGCTGGTTCCGTTTCCTTTGAACCTACGTAAGCCTTTCCTTTCTCTTTCTAGCTGAGCTCCTCGCCAAAAAACAGCCATTAAAGACCAGTGAGGTCTACTCTGACGATGAGGAGGAAGAAGAGGATGATAAGTCTAGCGAAAAGTCGGACCGTTCGTCTCGAACATCTTCCTCCGACGAGGAAGAGGAGTAAGCCGTGTACACTTTGGTCTGGTAGGCGGGCTGGGTGGTCTGCAGAAGCAGCTCAGTGGGGAGTCTAGTCTCCCTATCTGGGCCTCGGGCCACAGTTTGGCTCAGTACCTGAATCACTGAACCGAGTCTACCAGCACATCTACCCCATTTATTTCTTATGCCTCTGGCTCCCAGCCTGTGTCCCTGGACATTTCCCTTGGGCTCGGCAGGTGGGACACGACTTCCGGTTGCCTGAGATTGGCCTGGAGCTTCTTTTAGTGCTGTGGCTCTGCTCGGCCGCCTTCTTCCAGACAGTTGACACGGCCGGTTGGGGATGGGTCTGTCGCGGCCCTTCCCTGGGGCTTCATTACTCCCCCTCCCAGGTGAGCTGGGTTGGAGCTCGGAGTGGCTGGCGGTGTCTCTCCCCATCTCATATTTTTTTCTGTGATGAGCGCTTTTCTCACTGTCCTTTGCTCTTCATAGGAAAGAAGAAATCCCTCCAAAATCACAGCCAGTCTCCCTACCAGAAGAATTGAATCGGGTCCGATTATCCCGGCACAAACTGGAGCGTTGGTGTCACATGCCCTTCTTTGCTAAAACTGTCACAGGCTGCTTCGTACGGATTGGCATCGGAAACCACAACAGCAAACCTGTGTACCGGGTGGGTGTCTCCTTACTGGCACAGGTGTCCGTGTTTTTATTTGAATCCTCAGCCTGGATTCAAAGCTATTGAACAGCTCTGGGAAACGGGCCCTGGTCACAGTGCCTGTAGAACAGTGGCAGTGTGAAGCAAAGGGGATTGTGGGGATCGCACAAGGCCTGCCTGTCGGAGAAGTACTGGGCTACCAAATAAGGGAGAAGGGAGACATTTAGGAAGTATTTGTGGGCAGCTACATAACGTTCCTTTGGACAATAAGTGGGTGAAAATTTTCACTGTTCCTTCCTAAGTGACTTTTAGACCAGGGAGCTGTCGTGAAGTTGACAAAGGCTACAGAAATACACAAAGCAGCCACCTGCTGCGATTACTGTGCAGGCGCTGGCAATGCTTCTGTGATCAGGGCAGCTGGAACAGGGCTGCTTTCTTTTTTGTTTCCTTTTCTTTTTAAATGTTTTATATTTGTTTTGTTCTAGATTGGGCTTTTTGCTTATTGTGTGTTTCGAAAAAGATTATTTGATAGTCCACACTCCAGTTGAACTTCAGCATTTCTATTAATAAAGTCTTAAAGCTTATAAGCTTGATTCAGTGCTCAGTGGGAGCAGCATTTAGCTGGAAGAACTTCCTGTAGGGTGAGGTGGCACTTCCAAAGCCACGTCAGTTCTAAGGGAAGATGGAAGCGACAGAGGACAGTGAAAGGCAAAGGAGCCCAGCCCATGTGTGCTGCATCAGCTCAGGTGATTACTGAGAAAGAGCATGTGACTTGGCACAGAATGAAGCAAAACTTTTACATACAAAAAAGGGGGGGGGAAATTTCATTTATTTGAATAAAGCCAGCATTAGAGAGAGAGAGAGAGAGAAAGCAACCTTTCACTGATTTGCTCCCTAGGTGGGCGCAATGTCCAGGGCTGGGCCAGGCCAAAGCCAAGAGCTTCTTCCAGGTCTCCCATGTGGGTACTGGGCCCAAACATTTGGGCCATCTTTTTGCTACTTTTCCTAGGCCATTAGGGAACAGGACAGAAAGTGGAACAGCCGGGACTCAAGCCAGCACTTACATAGGATGCTGACCAGGTGACAGCTTTATCCATTATACCATAATGCCAGCCCCTGGCTTGTCTGGTTTTAACATCTCTCTGTCTGAGGGCACATTCCAGAGATCTTAGCAACACACGCTGACTGTGTCTTCACACCTGGGTGATCAGGGTTTCATCTCTGAAATCCCAAGTCCACTCCCCCATTGTTAGCAGAAGGGAAAGCTTCTTAGGGGCTCCACCCTCCCCAAATCCTTACCCTTAGTTACCCTGCCCTGAGGCTCCCTGTACCTTTTCAATTCTATACCTGAAAGGTGCCCAGAGTCTCCTGACAGCCCTGCACGCCTCTCAGTACAGGGTCATCTGTGTGTTCAGGCAGGTATGCAAGGATGATTAAAGAAAGAGTGGTGTGCTTTCCTATAGCCCTTGAACCTTTGTGCCCTAATTAACCATGTAAATATTGTCAAAAAAAAAAAAAAGAGTGGTGTGGAAAGTGCTGGAAGAATTTGTCCCTAATAGGTCTCTGTCCTGTCACTTAGGTCGCTGAGATCACTGGCGTTGTGGAAACTGCCAAAGTTTACCAGCTTGGTGGCACCAGGACAAACAAAGGGCTACAACTACGGTGAGAGTCGCTTCCTGGCAGCTTCGCCTTTCGCCTCAAATGCAGGCTGCTGGAGGAGGCTGGTGTTGTGTGTTTGCCTGGGGGAAACTAGGACATTCTCTCCCCCCAGGGGAGTCAGAGATGCCAGGTATTGGGTGCGAGCTGCAAGCCCATCCATGAGGAGCTGCCTTCCCTCCTTGCTATGTCATTGAAGTCACTTCAACCCTGATGAGTTGGATCATGTCTCTGGACTTAGTTCTCTTTTGTTTTTCCTTCCTTTTTAGAGATTTATATATCTGTTTGAAAGAGTCACCAAGAGATCTTCCACCTCTGGTTTACTCCCCACATGGCTGCAGTAGCTAACACTGGGCCAGACTGAAGCTAGGAGCTTCATCCTAGTCTCCTACATGGATGGCAGGGGCCAAGTACTTGGGTCATCTGTTTTTCCCAGGCAGCCAACTGGGAGTTGGGTTGGATGTGGTACAGCTAGGACACTAATTGGTTCCCAAATAGGATGCTGGTCATAGCACCTTTAACCACTGTGTCACAGCACTGGCCCCTGACTTAGTCTTCTCGTTAGTAAAATGGAAATGTCTTCTCAGCAAATATTTGCTGAAAGTCTGCTGTGCACCCAGCGCTGTTGTAGGCATCAGGAAAAGGGAGAGAACAAAACAAATGCAATACAATCCCTGTCCTCTTGTAGCTTGGGGGTTCTCAAGAGCCCATGTAGGAAGAAGTAACAGGCCAGGCTCACACAGCATGGTCACAGTTCTCCCTCTCCCACAGCCTGATTGGATCTCCATGTCCCCATCTAACATCCCCACACCATCCTAGAGCCACCCAGTGTGGGGAGTGTGGCTGTGACAAACACAGTTCCCAGGAGAATGGCACCAAACTTCACTACCATAACAGTAGGAGGCACGGTGATCTTCTCTAGGGAATTGTTTGCTCATCATTCAGACCCTTGCCTAGTACTGGAAATCCTTGCTATTGCTTGGCCATGCTGGAGTGTCCTGTGAACTGAGTTTCCTTTGGAAGCACTGACTTGGTCCATTTGGTTCCAGCAGCAGCTTTGTGATTCTCCATCCAAGTGGCCTATTGCTTTATTTTTATTTCACTGCCTGTTTCTTCTCTTAGAGATTCTGATCCTATTGGCCTGGAATGGTGCTTTAGCGTTAGAATATAAATGTTTCTAGATAATTAATTCCAAAGGGTAGTCTGGCTTAGTAACCACAGAGAGAGGGAGATGGGATCCGGTCAGGTTGGTGTTGTCATGTACATTCTTAGACATGCTGACTCTTCCTTAGGCATGGCAATGACCAACGAGTGTTTCGCCTAGAATTTGTCTCAAACCAGGAATTCACTGAAAGCGAGTTCATGAAATGGAAAGAGGCGGTGAGTGGCTGGAGACAACCAGCATGTGTCCACAAGCCTTGAGGGGGAAGGTGCTTCCAGACTCCTTACTAATAACCTTTCATCATGTTTTCTCCAGATGTTCTCTGCCGGCATGCAATTGCCCACTCTAGATGAAATCAATAAAAAGGAATTATCTATTAAAGAAGCTCTGAATTATAAATTCAATGATCAGGACATTGAAGAGGTAAGACAGCTGGTCCCCCAGCGCCTGGGGCTTATCAAGAACAAGTGTTAGAAAAAATCGTGATTTCCTGTGTCCCTGTATCTTGATATTTTTAGCTGCACAGGAAGATGAGGGAGTACAGACATCACTGCCGTGTAACTTTGAATTGATCAGCTTTTCTCTGGGCATTCTTATCTACAGATTAGATTTCCTGGACTCAAGTGCCTTCAAGGCTCCAGGATGTGTGTGCCTCTTTATCCCAACATTTTCATCTGTGTTCCAGGCTGGTGGCTAGCCTTGCAGTGCCTGGCCCTCAGACTGCTGCCACTGATGGGCACTGACTCCCTCACAATGGTGCAGAGTTGATGCATGTCCCGGGAAGCACCATCCTGTTCCTTCGTGTGTGCCTGCCTCCTCCCTGGGGACATGGCACTGCTGTGGGCAGAGCAGCCCCTTGAGCCAGCTGGCTGCCTTCAGAAGGGGCTCACCACATGACCCGTGGGCACAAGTGGTAGAGCATATACTCACTGCTGGTGTCTCCTCTCTGGTGCAGATTGTTAAAGAGAAAGAAAGGTTCAGAAAAGCTCCTCCCAACTATGCTATGAAGAAGACACAGCTGTTGAAGGAAAAGGTGAGACCCTGGACTCAAGCCTCGCCCTGCCTGAGGCTATGCAAAGGCATACACTTCCCTCCCTGCCGAGGCACTGCAGGCCCTTGGAAGCAAGCTGGAGGCAGCAGAGTTGTTCTTGGCCCTTTTCCTGCTAGAGCAAAAAGGCCCCTGTTGATCCCATCCTCCTTTCTTTCATGTTAGTATCATTTGCAATAAGGTTGGCCCCAAGCCAATATGAGCAGACCAGAAGGACTGGCCGGCCATGGTGGCTGGTGGATTTCCATTTCTTCACATTAAAAGGATGGGGCAAGTCTTATGATAGGGGCTTAGCTATCTGGACTCTGACTTCTTAAGGGTATGGGTGGGTGTCACTCCACTAGGGACCCAGAGTCAGGTACCCATATGGAAGGTATTACTACTGTAATGAAAATTTTATCTCATATTTGTAAAGTACTGCTTCTATTTTTGCACATTTGCTATTGCTTGTTCATCACATGAGCATGTCTTGCCTGTGCTGGAAGACAGGAGAATTTATAGCGAGCCGGTTGTCTCCAAGAGCTGACACATCTCTCTGTATGCAGGCCATGGCTGAGGACCTAGGGGATCAGGACAAAGCCAAACAGATTCAAGACCAGCTGAATGAACTAGAGGAGCGAGCAGAGGCCTTGGACCGCCAGAGAACCAAGAACATATCTGCCATCAGGTAAACACTGCCTATTTTGGTTGGCTCCCTGTCCTCAGCCCCTGGATCTTGGGCAACACCAGTAGGCAAGCCTGTGACCTTGACCCACTGTGCTGTCCTGATCCCACAGATCTCCGGGATCGGACTGAACAGCTCCTTTCCTCCTTTTATAGCCCACTGACTCATACTCTTACTCACCCCACAGTTATATCAACCAGCGCAACCGGGAGTGGAACATTGTGGAGTCAGAGAAGGCCCTGGTGGTGAGTAGGACCACTTGTATGCTTAGCATACACACCCTCTGTGTGCAGATATGCATGCTTGTATTTTCTATTTTATTTAAATTTTTATTGATTTGAAAAACTAAGACAAAGGTCTTCTACCTGCTGGTTCACTCCCAGAATTCCTACAAGTTAGGCCAAGTAATTCAATCTGCTTTTGCCATACAGGGACTTGTGTACTTAAACCACCACCTGTTGCCTCCAAGGCTGGGACTTCAGTACAGGCACTGTGATGTGGGATGTGGGCGTCCTAAGAGGTTTCTTGACTGCTGTACCACCACCGCTCCAGATTTCTTAATTTATAGTAAAACATCTTCTCTCTTGTCTTACTCTCCCCACCTTTGGATGCTACTCCACAGAAATTATTTTTTTGATTTCTGGTGTTTGATCGTTGCATTGGTAAATCTTGAAGGGAAGGGGATAACAGGGATGACGTTGTGGGGCAGCAGGTTGCACTGCCACCAGCATCTCATATTGTAGTACCAGTTCAAGTTCTGGCTGCTTCACTTGCAGTACAGCTCCCTGCTAATGAGCCTAGGAAAGCACCAGAAGATGGCCCAAGTGCCAGAGCCCCTGCACTTACATGGGAAATGCAGGTAGAATTCTGGCTCCTGGTTCCAGACTGAGTACCTCCAACCATTGCAGCCATTTAGGGGAGTTGAACAAGTAGTTAAATGTCTCTTTCTCATTCTCTCTGTCTCTATAGCTCAGCCTTCCAGATAAATGCAAGAAAAAAAAAGACAAGAAACAGCTTTTGCTTGTTTGCAGTTCCTTGCAAAGACTTAATTTGTATGCAGACCCACGGTGGGTGAGAGGAGGGAGGCAGATTCTGTTCTGTAACGCTGCTCTGTGTCGCAGGCGGAAAGTCACAACATGAAGAACCAGCAGATGGACCCCTTCACCCGGCGGCAGTGCAAGCCTACCATCGTCTCCAACGTGAGCGCCTGAGGACGTTGGTAGTGGGGACCCAGATTCTAGGACAGACAGTGAATTCCATTAGGAAATTAATAAAGAAGTTAAAAATAATATCTTCTTGGCTGGGATTTGCTCTCCTCAAGCTCCTGGGTCTGGACATTTCCTTTTTTTATCTTGCTATAGGGCATATAGGCAGTGAGAACTGGTATGGATCTGTATCAGCCTGGCAATTAACTCCTTATGCCACAGGCTTGAACACGGGCTGAAAAATCCCTTATCCAAAATGCTTGGGGCCAGAAATGTTTCAGCTTTCACTTTTTTTTTTTTTTTTTAATAATATATGCATGTTGACATAGACTTCTTGGCAGTGAGGCCCAACTCTAAGCACAAGATTCATGTGTATTTCATAATGCCCTCACATACACAGGCTGACAGCAGTTCTATAACAGAATCTGCTGAATGCTTACATACAGCTGTGACCCATCACATGAAATCAGGTGGAGAATTTACCTCTTGTGGCGAAATGGCAGTAATCCAAAGTTCGGGATGAGAATGGACACTTGGTGGGCATGCCTACACTCCACCTGGGCTTGTGCCCCTGCTCCAACCCCAGGCTCCTCCTAGTATGCATGCAGGGGTCAGAAGTGATGGCTCCAGTCTCCAGTGGTTGGAGGCCCAACATTGGTGACCACTTGAAGAGGAGACTGGTGGATTTGAGCTCGCTCTCTTTCTTTCTCTCACTCTGCTCGCTCTGTTTCTGTCACTCTACATTTCACATAGATGAAAGCATATGGATTTTGTTTTGTTTTTTAATGGCCTTCTGGATGTCTAGTGTGTAATACATTACTTAGGTAGGGCCTGGCTGGACAGGGTTTTCCTGTTAAAGCATCTACTTGCCCTTTTTCACTCCCTTGAGGAAACCCCACTGAACTGCTTTGGGGCCCCCCATGGTGCTTGTGAGGGTGGTGGAGGCAATGAGCTCAGTAAGCAACAGTCTCTAAAGTAGCTTATTTCTTCTCTCAGTCCAGAGACCCTGCTGTTCAAGCTGCCATCTTGGCCCAGCTGAATGCAAAATATGGTTCTGGAGTGTTACCCGACGCCCCCAAGGAAATGAGCAAGGCGAGTACCTCCCCCACTTTCACCTCTGCAGGCTGTTGAGCAGGCCACCTGCTCATTGGAGCAAGCACCTTGCCTAGTTTGGCCTTGATCTTCCTGCTTGCCCATTGTTTACAAACGGGACCAGGGGCTGTGGAGTTTGGATCAGTCGACCTGAATTCTAACCTGTCACCCCCACACACTGGGGTCTGGGTCTTTAGGAAATTGATTAGCAGATGTTGGCACCGTGTTCTGCAAAATGCAGAAGATGCCCTCCCTGCCACCCAGCATAACTGTGTGTGCCCACCAGGCAGTTGCTGAAGTGATTAAGGCAAACCATGAAAACTGCCTGTTTAAAATCAAATGTCTGCCTGAGAGGTCTTTTCCCAGGGAACCTAAACTGTTCCAGGAATTGGTAAAATCTCGGGTTGGATGGAGGCTGTGGCCTTAGGCCCTCTTTCCTATTCTCATACCCTGGCCCTGAGCATTCCTGCTCTTCAGTGCTTGGAAGACCAAAAAGGCTTCCAGAAGGAACGCTGATGGCCTTGGCTCTCCTTGCTCTCTCGCAGAGACACCGGGAGCCTCTGCAGAGGGCCAGCTGGAACCGAGCTGAGACCGCTTGCACCTGCTGCCACTGGAAGCTCGCCTGCACGTGGGTGCTTATCTTTCACTATCCTCATGTTGCAGGGCCAGGGGAAGGATAAAGATTTGAATTCAAAATCAGCCAGCGACCTCTCAGAAGATCTGTTCAAAGTACATGATTTTGATGTGAAGATTGATTTGCAAGTTCCCAGCTCAGGTATGCCAGGGCTGGGAGCAGAGACAATGTGTTTTTGGCCAACAGGGAGGCCAGATTTTAGGGAAGAACAGAGTGTCAGTTCATGAGTGTCTCTAGGGCCCAGGTTGTGGGCATCACGAGACGAGACAGGGTGCACCAGCAAGGCTGGCAAAGGAGGAAAGGCGTGGGCAGGTACTCCAGCTGCCAATCTGCTATTCTTTCCCACAGAGTCAAAGGCTTTGGCCATCACCTCCAAGGCCCCGCCAGCCAAGGATGGTGCTCCCAGGAGATCACTGAACTTGGAAGACTACAAAAAACGACGGGGGCTTATCTGAGCGTGCCCAGCCTACTGCCTCCAACCCTGCATGTCCCATCTCCACGGCCCTCCTTTCCCTTTTCCTTTGTTTTGCCCCCTTTGGGCTGGAGCAGCAGTGAAACTGGGAAGAGACTCTAAACTGCCAGTCATTTGTAATATAAACGTTCGCTGTATAGACTTCTTTGTCCGCACCATCTCCCACCGCCCCGGACCCTTCCCAGTGTACCCTTGGGCTCTCTGGAGCTTTTTCCATGACTTTAGATTTGTGTTTGCTTTTTTTCTTTTCTTCCCCCTCTCCGCCCCCATTTTTGTTTTTGTTTTTGTTTTAAGCCAGCAGAGTTCACTGGCCTCCCTGCACACGTTCAGTATTAACCACGGAGCTGGGAGTCTCCTGGAGCCTATGGAGGCCAGAGCAGCAGCACTGGGCAGTCTCTTCTGCCTTGGACCTATCCATTCAGCATGTGGCACCTGACCCTTGTGGAGCGCGCAGGGATCAGGCACCTGCGGTCCTCCCACCTCTCTCCTCACCTTTCCCTCCTTCCCATCACTGTGGAAGAAGGGTCTTCAAAACCAATTTAGTTTCCAAAAAGTGTACATTTGTGGGGAGGGAGGGTGTCTAATTTGAGTGAGAGAGAGAGAGAGAGTGTGTGTATGTGTGTGTAGGTGTGTGGATTTTTTTATCATTTTTTAAAATGCAGTACTCTTTGTATCAGTCTGTCATGGGTCTATAGCTGTTTCAGATTTTTTTCAGCTGTACTTGAGCATCTGAAACTGCAAGAAAGAAATTCATTAAATGTGATTCTTCTTACTAAACAGGCCTGACTGCTGTAGCTGTGTAACTTCCACTCTCCCCTCCACCCCACCCTGTCACCACCCCCTCAGAATTTGCCCCAGTTAGTCCCCTGCCCTGCAGGCTGTGTCCCAGCAGATGGGAGGGAAGCCTATGGCCACGGACCTGGGAGGGCAGAGGAGGAGTCTTGCTTATCCCATGGGCTCAGCCCATAGCTTTGTAGCTGAACAGTGTGTTATTTTTTCCCCCCACTTACCTTACCTATCTTCCTAGTTGTTCTTTTTGGCTGCTTGGCAAGATTGACATTCTGTTTTGTTTTTAAGAGAAATTCTTCAACAGGAACGTGGAGAGCGAACACATAAAGCTTTAGGTTGCAGGTGTTCCCAGCATGAGCAGTTTGCAAGTGTGTGTACACAGAGATGTGGGGAGCGTGTGTGTTGTTGGGCAGCCAGGGTGAAGCCAGAAGAGGTGTGTATGTCTTTATGAAATGTTTGAAAAGAGATAAGCTGACTGCTTGATAATCATTCTCAGGTGTAAAGCTCCAACTGTAAATAAAAGTGGCATTTAACAAATCTTTCCAGAACAAAGTCCAGCTGGCTATATATGTATATATATATGGCATATACACACACATGCACACACACAGAGCAAGAACAAAGCTGAAGAGACTGCTGAGGGCTGCTGATTCCCACGAGAGGGACAGGAATCCAGAAGCCGGGCTCGTCACTTCTGCACCCTACTTTTGTATAAAGAGGGATGGGGGATGATGGGAAATCATGGAATTAATTTGTATTTAAACATGAAAATGAACTTAGTAACTCTTCCAGGTTGAACAGCCTAGGCATTGCTTTAACTTAGTTTACATTTTCTTAATTTTGAAAACAGTAATGGACAGTTTTAAAGAAGTATTATGACTATGTCAAGTTGATAAATACAACTGTAACACAGCTAGTGGTGGCTGTGGCACGGTTCGGTTGGACAAAGGAATGGTAATGGACTCATTAAAATCGTGTGTACTTGAAGAGTCCATTGACCAAAACTCTTTACAGAGCATTGTGTATATGTGGAATCTCAGACTGGTAAATACTTCCAGGCTCCCCCAGCCATTCCTGGAGCTGCCAGGACCTCTCTTTCTCATGATGAACTCAGACTTTTTTTTCCTTTCTGGTTTCAAAGGACGTAAAATGATAGTCTATATCATTTGCTGCAATCCCTCTGACCCATTGTGTAGATCTGTATTTAGTATCATTTGGATTTGGAGACATGTCAATGACATTATGGCTGTGTAATAAAATTTTTATTCAAACTGCATCACCCTGTAGCCACTTTGCCACTACCTCCCGAAACACACCTGCTGAGAGCTTCATTCTGAGATGCCAAAGCACAGAGCAGGGAGAAAAGCCCCCCAAAGACGATGGAGAGGCACCTTAGCCGCTGCACAGCCCGCCGGCAGCTTGCTTCCACACGGAGGCCTTGTCTCCTGTCGTTGCCAGGGCTGTGCCTCTGCACCAAGACCATGCCAGGCACCAGACACTGCCTGCAGCCCACCGTCTCACCTTTGTGGTGGCCCACAGTCTTCCCTAATCCCTTCACCAGCTCTAACATGGTTTTGGTGTTGAAGGGGCCACACCCACACCTGCTGTGTGAAGTATTCAGGCCTGTCTGTGCTGCTGCTGATGGGCACAGGGGCGTCTGGGGCCTGCACCTTCCCTCCAAAAAGAATGCTATGTTTTGTTTGTTTCTGTGAGGTCCTGACTTGTCACTCATACTGTACAGATATTTGTAAATAAATGATATCATTTTAATACGGGGTCAGTGGAGTGCAAGCATTGTGTGCTAGATGGCTGCTCCTGGAGCTGTGCTTTTGGTAACCAGGGGAGCCTCCCTACTCCTACTTCCCTTCTTCCCCTCCTGCCAGCCCTGCACCCCAAAATGTGAGAGTGGCTGTCACCAGTTTCCCACAGCCTGGTTTTCCAGGAGCCCATTAGTTAGGGTCATTGCCTGCACCCAGCATATCTTCCATGGTTGTTGTTTGCTTCCTATCTAGAAGAGGTCACCAAGCTTTTAACAGAACTAGGTGGACTTTTCTAAGGGCCTGAGCCTAACTCCTGGAATGTGTGTCATGCGGGAGAAGGGGAAGCCTGGGGCTGTTAAGTCAGGCTCCAAAGGAACCCTTAATTCCCAACCCTCTCTCCCTGAGTTGGGCAGATGTGCAAATGCCCGAAGCTGTCTCAACTGCCATCTGAATCTGGAAGTGAGATCTTGCAGCATCCACCTCATCAGACGGAGGTGTGCCCAGGGACTGGCTACAAGTGTCCTCAATAAGGTTGTCCCCAGCCTCCTGTGGCCATGTGGCCCTTCTAGGAAGGAGAGGTAACCTCCAGTGCAGGTGGAGGGAGGTGGGGTGCTGTGATGATCAACTCCGTCTCCCAGTGTTTTCCAGGACAACTCCTTTCCTATGGGTGGCACCCAAGTTTGGTTTTTCACTTGATTTCCCAGACCAAAGGTAGCCACTGAGTCCCCAAGGCTGCAGGGAAGGGCAGCTTGCTGCCTCTGTAGCTTCCCAAGCTGTCCCAGGACCTCTGGCTGGAACCAGGAAATGGGACTTTGTGGTGTAGACTGCTAGGTCAGCCATTGCAGCATGCAACAGCTCAGGTTTCCAGTTTGTGCTGCAGTCTGGAGGTAGACCAGTAAGCCAAGATACTTGAAATAGTTTTCAGTGCAGCTAAGCTTGGGCTAATTAACTCTGAACTCCCTTAAAATAAAAGGCATCATCATCACACACCAAGATCCTGTATTACTGATTTCAGTAGGGGCTCAAGAACTGCTGCTGTGGTGGGAAAAGTGACTACATTTGGGAGAGAAGCTTTTGGGGTAGCATGGCTCAGGGCGGACCCCGAGGGACGCACAGCTACAGGAAGAATCCTCACAGGTGTGAAGCTGTCAGCACCACCACCTCCAAAGTTCTAAAACCTCTGACAGCCCTGCTTTGCAAGGCTCCTGCAGACATCCGAGCCCAGAATGCCCCAGTTCATCTTCAGCGACTTTCCCAGTGCTCAACTTCCTCCTCTCAGAAGCCTTGTCGACCGCCCCCTCCCAATGCCGGTCTGGGTGCACCCCCACCAGCTCCGCATGGCGCGTCCCTTCCCACGCTGTACCCCTAGCCTGGGATTTACTGTGCCCATGGCATTTCCCTTCATACCCCAGCACCCGGTGCCGCCTGGCGCTTGGGTAACACCCACGAAACGCCGTGGAGGGAGGGAAAGGAGGAACCGAACAGACGGCCCTCCCGGGCCCCAACTTCTGGTGCATTCCCACCCGCAGTCCTCACCCATCCGGTGCCCAAACCCGCACCCCGCTGCACAGCCTGGGATGGAGGACACTCCGCGCCATCACCGACTTGTACGACGCGCCGCGCCGTGGCACAGACTCCTGGCCCTAACTGCCACCGGACGCTCTGCACCAGGCTCCGCGAATGGGATTAGGCAGAGAAGGTGCGTGGAGCAGCAGGAGGTAGGATGGTGACGGCATCCGGGAGTATCTTAGACAGCAGCTCTTGCTCTTCCAGCCCGGGCCCACTGCCCGACCTCCACCTTCCCCTCTGGGAGCGACGCTGTGGCCGGAAGCCCTGGCTCTGGAGTGTCCCGGGGGATTCTGGCCTCCTGGACACTCTCAGGCAGAAACACATTTAGTTCCTTTGAAATGAGAGTGTGGAGGGCCAGCCAAGAACCTCGCAGGTACAACTCTTATCCATTCCAGAACATTCCCCTGAGTCAGGCCTGTGTCGGATGGCACAGAGGAGAAACCCAGATGAGGAAGGTGGTGGTGTTGGGGCTGAGTCCCAGGTGCCAAGCACACACAGTTTTCACTCTTCTGGGCACCACCCCATCCTGGCTCAGGCCAGTGCCCTGTCTCCCAGGCCCCAGGTAGAAAAGAGCGCCAGAGAGGATTTGGGATGCACCAGGCAGCTAAGGGACCAGGATCCCAGGGCCTTAGAAAGATCCTATTATTGGGTTAACACCCCTGGGGTAGCAAGCTAAGCCTGTGCCAGCCTGTGGTGCCAGTGCTGGTTTGAGTCCCAGATGCCCCACTTCCTATCCAGCTTCCTGCTTGTGGCTTGGGAAGGCAGTCAAGGACAGCCCAAAGCCATGGGACCCTGCACCTGCATGGAAGACCTGGAAAAAGCTCCTGGCCTCAGATCGAGTCAGCTCCAGCTGTTGCAGACACTTGGGGAGTGAATCATCAAATGGAAGATCTTTCTCTCTCTGACTTGCCAATTTAAAAAAGAACAAGAATGAGACCAAGGATTGCACGGACCCCAGCAATGGGACAGTCCAATCAGCCCCTTTCCCCCTTTCCCTCCAGGCTGTTATGTGCACTTGGGAGCACGGGGGAGACTCCCAGTTAGCCTCAGGGAGCCAAAACTGGCCCTGGTGGGTCCGGTGAATAGTGGTTCTGGCTGTCCACAAGTTTACAACCTTCTGCCTCCAAATTGCTCTCATTTCTGCTGCATCCCTTTCATCTGACAAGGAGGGGAAATGGTGGGCCTTTGGGAGCAAGTGGCCACCACCTCTGCTTCTGATCCACCTGCCTCCTATGCCTGGGCTGGGAAGCCTCAGGGGAGGCCTTAATGACTGGAGTCTCCCGCCGATGGACCCAGGAGCCCTGTTGGAGTATAGGCTCCTGGACTCCAAGTGTCCCAGCTCTGGTTGTTGAGGGCATTTGGGGATTGAACCAGCAGATGGAAAATCTATCCTACTAAGCCCTTCCAATACATAAAAGGGCCAATGGAGGCACACAATTCACTTTCCTGGCTTGCCTAGGAGAACATCTATCTAGCCCCTGCACACTGTCCCTCAACCCTGCAGGGACCTAGGGCCACACCTGTTTTCTGCCCAGCTGGAGACAGACTCTGCCTTCCCTGGATTCAAGAGTAAGCTGACAGGTAGACAAATCAGGAACTGAGACAGGCCAGACACACAGCCTTGTCCACTGGGTCTCTTCTGTGTGCTGGCTTCCTGTGACCAGGATAGGGCACATCCAGTGCCCCTTCCCATGCTAAAACTTGACAACATGGGCTCTAGGAACTTGCCCTTCCAAAGGAACACCTGGTGGACAGTCGGGGGCAGCCGGTGATCCTGGGGGCACCCTGGACCCCAGGGCTGGACCCAAGAACAAGGACGTATCCATGCCTGTTCTCCCAGCAGTGGAGACAGAGACCTGATGGTGATTCTGCTTTGCCTCCTGTGTCACCCATCCAGTGCTCAGGGCCCTGGCACACAGCGCATGCTCACTCCACTCCCCCTTCCCTGCCTTCTTTCCCTGGCTTGGCTTTTCCCACCCTAGGTTTGCCCTCCACAGCACCCACCCCCCACCTGCTTGAGGCAGCACCCCCTCCACTGCCTCCTGCCACAGCCCTCTCAGGAATAGGGTCCCTTCTTCTCCCTCCTCCTGGGCCACCCACCCAGCAGCCTTCATCCTAGTGGGGAGGCCATCTTCCTGTGGCCACCTAGGTTCCAGCAGTGCCAGGCAGCAGGTCCCTGCTGAGGGAGCCCCACTCGCAGCTCAAAGTGGGTTTGGGGTCAGCTGACCACTCCAAACTGCCTCATCTCCCCATCCCAACCCCCAAGTGGCCCAAGGGCTAGAGAGGATCAGATGAAGGGCTGCCTCCCAGTCACAGATTGTGGCGATGTGAGACTGGCACTGCCCACCTACACACTAAACCTCGTTGTGGACGGTCCAGGATTACACATCTTTCCCTTTGTCTTACTCCCGCGGATACTCAGGGAGGTGAAAAGGACCTACTAAAGCCACACCGCAGTTGCCCCCCAGGCCCAACGGTCAGAGGAGGTGGCAGCGGGAGTAGCAACTGTGGCCTGCCCCGAGGCGCAGGCCCCGCCCCCTGACCTTGTAAGTGGGCAGCTCCTCCCCAGACCGGTCTCCCACCTGGGCGCACACCCTGGGGTAGAGCTTCTTTGGGTATTCGTGGACCCCGGCCTGAGAAAGGCCCCTAGCCTGGAAGCCTGGGTTCGCTTTGGACGGTACACGGAGAGGAGTCTAGGGGGACTGGAGGGGGGAGGGCGTGGCAGGGTCGGCGCCTGGGCTGGAATCGCCTGGAGGAATTCCTCGCCTTCCCATACCCAGGGAAGACGGCAAGGCCCTGAGGGCACAGCGGCACCCTGGCCATCTGGAGCTTAGGCGCGAGCGGCCACAGGAGCCAAGCCTGGGTTTGGCGCTCGCGGGGTCCCTCGGCTTCCCTGCCAACCAAGGAATAACCCTGACCCGCCGGGGCCGGGGGAGGCTCGCGCG